TGGCGGCTATGGTGGCGGCGGTTACGGCAACCCTGGCGGTGCCGGTGGCCAGTCTTGGTGGTAAACCTACATCAACCACCTTTCCTGCAGCCACACTATGCTGCGCACCTGGCCCACGACGCCCTGATCGAATATCCTTCGACGCTTCATTTTCGGTTTCTTATCATATTCTTCGGTTTCTGATTTTTTCTTCGGCATTTCTTACCGCGGCGAGACATGGCCTTTCCTCTCACATCGGGTTTGGGAGGAGCAGGCTTTTAAGGCTTACACTCGGGCTTTCACGATAGACATCTTCGCCTTGTTTTGTTCATTCCGAGAACTTCCGGCAACAACTTTGATACCCTTAGATCGCGAAAGCTTGGGCCTTCTACAAGAGAAGAGCTGCGAGATGGTGCGATTTTGCATCGATTGCAGCCCACGGTTGACACGATTTAGAACGAACTAGATCTCTACGTCAGCCTTCACGATTTCATGTTTCTACTCTTGCCGTTCAGAGAGAGCCTTTTGTTTTCACATAGATGAATGGGTCATGACGCGCCGCCAACTTTTTCATGTTTTCTCTTTTTCTCTGGACATTACGCATCATACATAGACAAAAGCGGATTACTCGGTTCCTCTGGTCGCGGTCGACCTACGACACCGCGTCTGGGCAGTCTCTCCCAAGGATTTCTTTTCTTCGACGGGGTTGCTTTTTCCAGAGAGACCCTGTCTCATAGACCGGTAATTGTTTTTCGGCAGATGAGGAATGAAAAGGATTGCGGGAGGGAAAAAAACGCGCGCGTTTACGACGGTTAGCAGGAGGCATGATACCCCTTTTTTTCGACATACGCATGGTCTTTTCTTAAGAGACTGGGAAGAAGGGGAAAGTGCGTCCTTCTTGGGTTCTTATTTGGGATTGAACGGACACGGGGCAAAAGCCAAAAAGGGCGTCTGCGAATGGGCTAATCAAAAAGGAGAGCGTTAAAACGGGCAGAGGCTTGGGAAGGGGAGGTGTTCTTTTGCACAAGATTTGTTTTCCCTAGACATGGTTTGGGATTTGGGCTTGGTTTATTACGGTTGAACCAAGATCGAAGCCTGGGCATTTGGGAAAAGTTCCCCGGACATGGCGGCTGCTTGTTTTTGTCTCCTTGGCATCCGTGGCGCGCGAGACGGAATTGCTTGAACTGAGGAATCCAATCAAAAACATTTCAACCTCGTTATAATCTTAACGTCTTTTGTGCTTTGGTGACAGTGAAGTGATTTTGTGTAGTATGCTTTGATGACAGGTGTGGTGTGCTGAAACGTAGCAGGTCGTCTCTGGTATAGATTGTTATGAGAACGTGGCATAATCAATAAGCGATGCCCAATGTGGCGAGAATTCCATGGTTTGAAATCTTGAATTATAACAAGTAGGTTTCTATTCAAACACATGTGGTGATACTTAGTGTTGCCCGGTGTAGTAACTTCTAAACCAGGTCTATGTGTTTTCCCTTAGTCTCAAACCCTTGCTTGTCATGATACAGTATCAAGAACACTTGACTATGACATCAACTCCTCCAAGATGGACTCAAGCTCCTCTTTCCTAAAGGGTAAGCTCAGATACTCCGTCCCTATCGAGTCCTTGTGACTAGTAATGATTTGATGATCATGAAATCTGTCGTGAAAGTCTGTCAGCTGTTGTCCAAAACATAGGCTAGGTAGCAGAGGAAATAACTTGAAAACAAAACATACTCCTTAAGCAGCGTCCTAAACGCCATCTCCGAACTGCAAATAAACTCCTCCACAGCCTTGTTATAAAGCATCCTATACTCTACCCCTGGGCTTTCGCCCCCACCGAATTCCCCAGCAGAACCACCACCTTCTTCAAAGGCAACCAAAACCTCACCCACAATCAACCCAAATAACTTCCTCGCGTTCTCGGGCAAACTCCGCAACACAAACGCCACGCCCTCTTTGCCGCCTGCTCGCTTGCCCATTCTACCCAGTAACTCGTGCACTTCGGATATCACGTCCATCTCGTCTGTCTTTGTCTCTGAGCCAACTGGCCCGACTGGTCCGGAAAAGGGCGCAAAAGTGGTGCAATCGTGGAAAGCAAAGTTGAAAGAGGAGCGCAGGCTCGAGTCCCAAAGCAGAGGGAAATCGGGGGTGTCGACTGTGCAAGCTAGGGAAATGAGCGGGTGGGAGGAGAGGTGGGCTAGGAGGGATTGGGTAGCGGGTTTGCGGAGGGTGGGGGAGAGGGGGGAGTCAAGCGAGGAGAAGAGGAGGGTTATTTTTGGGCTACCAGAGGGAGGGGTTGGGGAAGAAGAGGAGGAGGAGGAGGATAAGAGGGAAAAGAGGTTTTGGATCATGGCCAGCGGGTTACCCGAGGGAAGGCGGAAGGTGGGACCACCCACGGCGAGGGCGATGGTAGTGAGGATCTCGCGGATGGTGAGGGTGCGGTGGTGGCCATTTATTATGATGATTTTGTTGTTTTGTTCTTCCGAAGATGAAGAGGAAAAAGAGGAGGAAAGGTACTCGGCGAATTGGTGCAGCAGTCGACGCTTGGAGCCGTAGCCATACAGGCAGACGCTGAAGCCTTGGGAGAGCTCAAACGCCCATTGTGGAAAAGAGGCGATGTGGTGAGACTGGAGAGTTTGGATTTGTTCTTCGTGCGGGTCTTTCTGGAGGCCGGGTTCGTCGCGGAGGAGGGAGAAATATTCTTCGTGCGTGAGCAGGTCGAGCGAGGAGAGCGTGTTGTTGGACGTCTTGTTCGATCCCGGCTTATTCTGGTAGAAATATTGCTCGTGAGGGGGAAGATCTCGTGGTGGCGTGGGTGATTTCTTTCGTCGTGCTGTTGCTGAGCCGGGAGGTCGGCCTCCTCGTCCTCTCCTTCTTCCTCCTCCTCTCCCTCTCCCTGTTTTGGATGGAGTTGTTGCGGCTAGGTCGGCCTCTTCGTCAGCGAGGTTTTCTTGTTGTTGGGTGTTTTCCTCGTCTTCTTCTTCCTCGCTTGACTCGTAGATCTCTCGTGCGATTTGTTGCTCCTCATCCTCGTCGTCGCTCACAGCGCCCTCCAGCACTCGGTCGATCAAGGCCCTGGCGCTCTTCCTTCTAGCCGATCGGTCGGCGATTCCTCGCCTGCTGGGTGTGTCGACACCATTGAGTCCCCGGAGTTTGAGTGGTGTGTCGTCAACTAGGCTGTTGCGTAGGGCCGATGGGGTACTCGGCTTGCCCCTTGGTGTTCCTCCTATTAAGGCCTTCGGTGGCCGCCCTAGTCTTTTCTTGCTGGGTGTCTGCTCGGTCAGTGACTCGGGTTCTTCTGGCACAGAGGCTAGATCGCTGTGGAGGAAATCGGCTTGTTTCCGCGGGGTAGCGTTTCCCTTCGAAGGTGTGCCTCCATCTTGTGACTGTCGCCGTTGACGCTTTGCAGAGGGAATCGCATCATCCTCATCGGGAATTTCGTAGGGGTCGTCGGCAGGGAGTGGCCGTTTTCGAGAAGGGCGTTCGACTAGCTCGTGCTGATCTGTTGATTTCCGACGAGGAGGCATATCTTCTGTGTGATTGGCTTTGGTGTATGTGTTGTTTGAACTGTGTGGCATGCTTTGGAGTCCTTCCTCTGCAACTCGAAGTCTTGGGGAAACTTTGTGAAGTCAAGACGCGCTCGCTAAATTGTGACGCGTTAAGCTGTACAAGCCGGGATGACGCTAGATCACGGGAGGTACCTGCTAGAGGTACCTAGGACGGTTCCAGGGTTAGCAGAAGGAACGATCCTAGCCGCTGTCAATAGCGGCAGGGTTATAGGCGGGCGTCCCCAGCTTTCTTGCATCACGGGCAACCTCATGTCACCTCAACCAAACAAACTCCAAGAGGACTATCACAGCCACCATGTCAAAACTCAATCTCAACTTGTCTGCTTCATTGAACATCTTCAAGCTTATTGCTAAGCCTTCATTATGTTTGCCCCACGCTACTGTCGCAACCTTCAATGACCTACCAATTCCTCTTAACAAGGCCTTTGGCAACGGCGAGAAGAAGGTCGACATAAAGGCTGTCGTGTTGGATAAGGATGACTGCTTTGCCATTCCTGATCACAATGAAATATACGGAGACTATAAGGTGGGGCTTTATCTCTTTTCAAGTCCTTTGAGAATCACATCGGCTAATTCAGCCCAGGAACGCATGGAGGCTCTCAAGGCAGCATACCCTGGCCGCCGTCTTCTGATCGTGTCCAACACTGCCGGAGCTCTAAGCTGGGACAAGGACGGCAAGATGGCATCCGCAGTTGAAAGAGCTACCGGTATCACTGTCCTTCCTCATGGGGTGAAGAAACCAGGCTGCGGCGACGAGATCATGTCGTACTTCCGTGCTCACCCGGAGACCGGCGTCACCAGTCCTCACCAGATCGCTGTTGTTGGAGACCGACTGGCCACCGACATGATGCTTGCCAACATGATGGGAAGCTATGGCATATGGGTGAAAGATGGAGTTGTTCCCCACGAGAAGAAGAGCATCGTGAGTATCAGCCCGAAACCAAGCTGCGTGATAACTTGATGTGTTGTGCTGACTGGGATATGATAGTGGTCGAGAGTTGAGAGGAGCGTTGCGCCCTTCCTCGTGTCTCGTGGTTATACTGCTCCCGAGCCAGTGAGCCCCTTCGAGTAACTTCATTTTGCTCGCCGTGGGAAAGAAGATACCGTGTCGCAATGTATGTTCTGTGGATATGCTCAATAGCTGAGGTGGGTTCTCCTTTCTTTCGAATCTGTCCCCCATCCTCATTAATTGTCCCTTTGCCGTTGTTTTCTTCTTCGATGTTGCCATGCCTTTCCTCGCGTGTTATCTGGGTTCTTTATGGCACTCTAAGAATGCTTCTTGTCTCACTTAATAGTGGTACATTCGTGCTTCGGATGTTCTCCGCGATTACAGGTCGTCTTCAAACATTGAAAGCCCAGAGGTAACTATCAGCGACAGTGTTATCTGCCTTGGCTGGCTGGTACTCAATATGATACCTTGTTCCGTTGGAAATTGAAAACGCTACTGACGGAAGTGAATGCCCGGTACCTGGTGCGTGCACAGGTATTGGCGATGGGCACAATGAAAGCACTAAACTGAACCTGTTGATTATCAGGCAAACGGGCCCCGCAAAGTTGAATAAGATGGGATGTTGCTGACCTGACGACGATTGCTCCAGATAAGTCCAAGGGCCTTGAGAGTGGTCGAGGACTGCTCAGCAATTTACGTGTGCGTAGGACCAAGTCGAACTTGCAACCCTTTGCCGGGACGTTTGCTGCCAACAAGGTTTGGCAGCACGTCACTCGTCATTTCACTCGTGCCCAGTTGGTCAGTTGGTGAATGGTATCTGGAGGTCAGGGTTTGCCGGCCGGTCTGGCTCGGGCGGTCCTTGGTGTTGGGACGGGTTGGCAGGTGCCAGGAACGTCGTCGGTGGCCGTGTTCACCTATCTCATCACCCGTAGTTGAAGGCCATTGTCGACCCACAACATCCCCTTGCCAAACCTCCAAACTGTTTGCCGTCCCAACTCCTCGTCGTCATTCGGTGCCTTGAAACCCGTTCTCGAAGGCGTCAAATTCACAACCGATCGAGGTTAGCGCAAGGCAGTCGCGCAACTTCTGGATCCCCTTCCACAACCCAAAAGGCAGCGCAATCCTCGAAATTCTGAGAGCAGCCTCAAAGAATCACTTTGGGATCAGCTTTACCAAGACCTTGGTCCAAAGATTTACGCTGTCATACGATATTTTTCCTTCAACCTTTCCCCGCCGTTGAGTGATCCGGTCGCGTGCAAACCGGACGAGTGCCAAAAAGAAGGTCCATTTGATCCGACCTAGCAGTTCGGACTGATCTTGTTTGTCGTCTGATCTCGAGGAAGATTGGGTGTGTCACAGCTATCTTCAATAAGGGCCCTGACAAGACAATCCCATTATTCCAGGTTGCGGTGGCTTAACTCATCCTTCACTGCACCACTTTGCACTCTGAAAGTTCGAGGGTCGCTGCCAGAACTTCCTATAAGAAAGGAGGGCTGCCGTCTCCTTTCCTCCTCTTCCTTCGTTCCTCAGACTGATTTTCCATCAGAGCTGATCATCTCTCCACGACCACTTCGAGCAACAGAGGGTATGTCGTCCTTTTCTTCACCTCATTTTTTTTTTCCTTCTTCCTACTGGTCCTCCTTCAGCGCCATTCTTTCCAGAGCTGACTTCTTCAGAACTTATCCTTCAAGCACGTCGCCACCGACAACCGCCAGTCCTTCTTTGCCCTACCACGGGTTCGCTTTCTTGCTTTCGCCACCCTGCCGCATATCACAAATTCCCCATTTTCTAGCTGCGCTCAGGGACCTGCCCCTCCTAATCTCGACACAATGGGCGGCAAACAATGGGCTAAACAGGAGGAGCTCGTCTTCTGGAAGGAAGTCGTCCCGAGATCGCCCAAGCGAGTTGGAAGGGATAGACAAAAGCCCGAAATGAATTGGAGGGACTGCGCGGCCTGGATGCAACGTCGCATGGCCAGAGAACTTAAAGAGCCTCGTCGAACCTACACTGAGCTGTGTCTCTGTGAGTCTTTATTGTCTTGTCTCGAGTCCCTTCATGGGCTGACCAGAAACAGTTGAGCATTACTTCCAGAATGCTGAGAAGCAGAAGTTTTCTCCTCACGCCGAACTACTGGTGCGGCGATATCTGAGGCAGAGTATGTACACGACCATGCTCCTTTCTTTATACTCCTGTTTATTTTAGAGAAAATACTAACGCAGATTGTTCTATATACAGAGGCACAAGATGACGCCAGCAGCAGTCAGAGCAACGGTCAGGGCCACGGTCAAGGCAACAGTGTGGCCAGCGAGGCGGGCGACAGCGACTTCAATCGCGACATGAACGACGCGCCGCAACCCCCTAAGACTGAGAATTTGGGCAACGCCGGACCCCAAATCCCCATCACACCACTTCGCCCTCGTAATTTGGCTACCCAGAGGACCATGGACAGCGACCACCAAGTGGCTTCTCCGTCGTCAATGTCTCCATTTGTTCCCAGTTACAACAATAACAGCAATGGTTTCTCAGGCATTGGCAGCCAGGCAAGCACCCCCAGCTACACAGGATACGCCGATCACCTTCGCCATCCTAAGCCCAACATGATGCCTCTCGGCCCCAGCGGCATGTCGACCGCTCCCACAATACCCATGGCGCCCATGGATGAGGAGGAGCTTCCTTCTCTCCCGGCTCGTCAGACTACTTCGCCCTACGGCAACGACAGTCCTGTTATCCCAGGACAATATTCCGAGATCAACTCGAGTCCGCCCATCCAGATGCCTCAACCCGTGCGCCAACAGTCGGCAATCGAGAGGCAGGCTGCGAGTGCTGGCATGAGTGTTCAGGATCTCCTGAACAGCTCTCCAGCCAAGCAACATCCTTTGCCGCAAGCCTATCAGGGCTCTGTTAACAACGGTTATGGCTTCGAGAGCGGCTACGACTACCACCCGAGCTACATGCAGGGTATTGATCAAGGATACGGCAATGGCTACTCCCAAAACTACACGTCTAACTATATCCCTTACGGCCAAGGGTACAGCAATGGCGTCCAGAATTACAGCCAAGGCTACAACTCCAGCTCCCAAGGTCCCAACAATGGCGTCCAGAACTACAATCCGGGCTTTAACTCCAGTCCCCAAGGACCAAGCAATAGTGCCCAGAACTACTATCAGGGCTACGACTCTAGTCCCCAAGGACACAACAATGGTGTCCAGAGCTACAGCCAAGGCTATGACTCGAGCCCCCCTGGACTTCCTCAGGGCCGCAACGAAGATGAGTCCTCCGCTACCCGAACTTCTTCTAGCAACGCCACTCATCCAGCTCACGATTCGGAGGCTCATAACGACGAGTACCATAGTCTCGGCAGTGACAACAACTACCAAAACAGTGGTTCTCCGACCGGGGATTACGAACAGTTGCCTATGTACAACAGCCGTGGCCCTCAGAAGTCCATGGTTCGCGCCTAAATCAGGCTAGCCTCTTACAAAGGATCATGGATCATGGCTCATGGCTGTGACTCCTGACCCATTCCACCATGTCTCGCAGGAGACATATTACTTGGTCTACTATACTCACATTAATCGGTTACGCGTTCCCTTTATTTTGGTTTTCTGGTCGCATTCATTTTTCTCCGGTCTTCGGTCTGCAAGATTTCCACCATCATCATCATCGAAAAGCACAAAGACAGCGTGGTTTTCTTCGAAATAGCATTTAAACAGGCGTTGCAGCATTCGGAAAGTTCAGCAGTGTTTTCTTTCCATTCATTCACTTGGGGGTTCTGGTGTACATACACGGTCTACCCCGTGAGCATCGATATTCAGCATATTTACCTTTTACAGACTTCCATCCTTGCCCACGGGCCTCTGGCGGTTTTTCTTCAGCTCCGCATCCATACCTATCGACTCTACACTGTCAACTAGATCCCATAGGGGTAATGATTACAGTATGCCCCTATAGGATTTAGACGAACACAGAGCGTGTAAATGAGCATTCAAGGAGATACGCCGAAGGAGGGCACTTATGGACATGCTTCAAAGAGCTCAAGAGAAAAGAAGCAAGGAAGGAAGGAAGGAAGGAAGGAAGGAAGACAGGGATATAAAAAAAGGCGGGAAGGAAAGAAGGGCTGCTCAAAGGAGCAACAAAGGGATAAAGCATCATGAAGTAACGAAAATCTACAAAACCTCAACAACAAAAAAAGACAACACAACAAAAAGGATTTCTTGGAAGGGCGCGAAAAAACAGGCATACATAGACAGTATACGAAGTCTTGAATCCGGTAGCAGCAGTGGTGCTTAACCTAGGTTTCTCTCGGACATCATCGCGCAATAGCGGACGACTGCCTTGCAAAGCTTTAGCCAATACCAACAAACAATAACCCTCTACATACTCAGCACTTTCGCGTTCACATCATCGCCACCTACTGTTTCTGCTCATGAGACGGAGGGAAGGGAAAAAATGTGATGTGGAGGAGAAACAGACACGTACTGGGTTACCTTTCCGGTGGCTCGATCATAGTGTTATCCTCTACAAACATGGTTTCACAAAGTCACAGTCTATTGTTGGGGAGGATCTGCGATCACGAGGAGGGGGGAAGATAATGATGGTAACGGCTTGGATTCTTCCCCTACGAGTTGAGGGCGAGCTAAGAGTTTCCCTAGAAAGGGACAGGTATCTTACGTCCTAGGACATATCCGGGAAGTACCTTAAAAAATGCCTTAAAGATTGATGATAGGGAGCAATAATTTGAGTATTAGCTTCTAAGTTAGGATGGGCTTAGTAACCTGGAACTCTGTGAAATGTGTGAAGTTGAAGGTAATCTACCTAGAGACGTTTGCTTATCTAACGACGGAAAAGGACGAGACGCGGGCCGACCCGATTGTTTGGTGTTTCCATCTTTGTCCCATGCCTGGTTCTGACATCAAGAAGGATACTAGTGACAACCAACGGTAGTGACAAGACTGGAATTAAATGCCATTGAGTCCAAATAATTGTATATTATGAGTCCAGGGAAAGAGCATTGCTAGCAATACAAGGCGACCGGCAGGCACGTTGCGGAAGCGGAAGGATGAGGTGTCATTGAAGGCGGGGACGATCGGAGTAACAGCGGCAAGAGTAAACCGAACCCGCGGACAACTTCACTTGAGAAAACTGAACTACAATGAATCAACATACACATTTTAGATGCAAACTCCGCACTTTTTCATATATAAAACCATACTCCCTACTCTTCTTCATCTTCTTTCTGGTTCTGTTCCTCTGTAGAGGTATTCTTCCCCAGCTCTTGGTCCAGATCTTTCCCATTGGTCATCGCCCACTATCCCCGCTTATCGTAAATACTGGTCATCTCGCTGAGAGCAATCATATGTTACTGAACATCAGACCACGACGAACCAACCAACCAACATCTTTTTCATTTTATCAACAATAGCGACTCGTTACTCTTACGATCACAGCCATTTATTGTTCGAAAATACACATTCCACGTTTCAGGAAAGACACCACAATGCCCTTCCAACTCGAGATCCCAATCTTTACAGCCGACATAGAAGAGCATGAATACCGTTCCTTTGGACAATCGGCATGGACTGAGCTCATGGACATTTGCGAAGAGGTTAGCATTGGTCGTCTCAAAGTTCAACGTATGCGGTTGGAGTTAAACGCTATTGGGTCTTATGGTAAGCCATCCATCCATCCATCCATCATCATCATTATCCTGTTCTGGCCACCAAGGCGGCAGATAAAGAGAGAGAGTAAACTTGAGTGAGGGCTTCAGTCAGCCCTACCTAACTTGCTTTTTCAAATCTAGAAGCCGGTGGTTTAACCCCCGACGTTGAAAACACGATTAACTTCCTCCGTTACCTACGAAAATCGAGGAGACTCAACGAAGACCAGCAACCAGCCATTCGCATCATGATCCGGCCCCGGGCCGAGGCGTGGGACAAGGGATCCGGCTTCCAGGTATCTGAACTTCAGGATTTTCAGTACTCGCAAGACGAGCTGCTCAGAATGTTGCAGTCGATTGAAGATTTCAAGGGAATAGGCCAGGGTCTCTTGAGCCCGGAGCGCGGCGATGGATTCGTTTTTGGAGTACAGAGGCGCTGTAAAGAGCGCTTGCACGGGCTGGCATTGGATGCTGCGGCCAACAAAAGGTTGATAGAGGCTGCCCGACCCTTTCCGTGCTTTTTGCACCGTGCCTTTGATGGCGTGCTCTCAACGAGACAGGACCCGGATATTTACAACCCTCCCGAAAATGAGGTACGGCCGTCCTCGATTGAGGACCTGGTAGCTGCGGTCAAAGGGCTCGGCTTTAGGGGAGTGTTGACGTCTGGAGGATGGGGACACGCGACTTCCAACCTGGAAACTCTGAGTGAACTTGGACGAGCGGCGCTAGTAAAGGGAAAGGAGGAAGAAGACAGGTTTGAGCTGATCGTTGGCGGTGGTCTTCGAAGTGACAACTTGTGGAAGATATGCACTGCAACGAAGGATGTGGTGCAGCATCGGGATTTTTGGCTTCACTCTTCGTGCTGGACATATGGGAAATTCAGTAAGATCCAAGCACGGAATATCTTGGCAGAAATGAGGAAGATGGAAGCGGCGTTTGCTATAGGCATGCCCTAGTGGGATATGTCTCTCTGCTCTGATCTCGGCCTGGTAGGTTTCATGGGTGTTGACAATGGTGTCATGCGGAAAGGAGGTGGTTAATGGAAGGGAACAAATAGCCGTCACGGTATGCTTGCCTGTCGTTCAAATGGATTTGAGACAACAGCTCAACGAATTTCGTGAGAAAAGAGTCTCTTAGAGTTGAGGATGTGAAAAGGCGATTTGAAGGATGAAGATGTGAGTAAGTAAGAGGACAAACAACAAACAGATGATGAAGATTTGCGATATGCAGGCAGTTCATAACATAAACAAAAAGAGGAAGCGCAAGAAGAGCGATACTGATACGAAAACAATCCAAGTAGTTTATTGGTGCTGTTGTTGGTTGTGTGTGACGAAAGTGATAATAAAGAGAATTAAGAAAAAGAGAACGGAGAAGTGTAAAGCGATGCTGGGAGAAAAAAAAGATAAAAAAAATGAAAGCTCCCTCGGTAAGGATCGAACTTACAGCCTCCAGATTAACAGTCTGACGCGCTAGCCAATTGCGCCACGAGGGATCTTAAGTTGTTATTGTAAGCTCGCAAAAATGTGGAGCCTATATACACTTACCACTACTTCGCCTTGGCACCGAGTTATCCAACAACACTACTCCAATGTCCAAACATTCATCCCCCATTCGAACATATCAACAACATAACTTCAACGACATGGCCTGACATGCAATGAAACCATCCCAGAAGCGGGAATAGCTTTATACGGAACGTGGGGGTGGAAGTCACTTTTGAAATGACATGGGGATACAAGTACGTATCTGCTCGTTCGGGTAGCATCCGTGGGCATTCAGATTGGCCCCTCTCAGACCGCTCAATCGCCAATCACTTTCTCCAATTCCACCACGTTCGCATCGTCGCCTCAATCTCTGGAGTTCCCGCTCACGAAGCACATGGCATCATCCCCAGCTTTTGGTTTGCGAGTGGATGCGGCCGCAACAACACCGGTTATCGACCGCTCGGCGATACCTTGCTTGATTCGGTTACGATCAACTCCTCTTCTTCAGCATATCCTTCCCTGGTTCCTCGAGGTTAACCCGATGTAGAAGCCAGGCACTCAGACAGTCAAGGTCGCTTGCGATACGACATGCACACAACATTTGGTGGTGGTGGTGTTGATGAGGTTGCTAAGTTGTGATGCGTCCCGAACCAACATGGTAACAACACGGCGGCAGCACCAATGAAAGATGGTCGAGCGATCGACACGTGCTCGGGAGACCGCATGTCCGACGACCGACGTTTATGGCCGGAGTTCGAGTGGTGCTGGATATTGAAGCACGTGCGCATGATGCTCGTACCTGCGTGGGAACGGACACCTTCCTACCAGGGCAATGGAACATCCTCGTTGCCCATTTTGTCACATCCAAAGTTTGGGAATATATATGGGCAGATCGGCACTGACTCGATCTCCATGATGTTTCTCTCCAGCATTTCAACCACCACCAGACACCCATCACCATCACCTCCCCGCCTCGTGCCGGCGTTATGGTCTCCAGCATGTGCAGGCTAAGCGGCGTCCTGCCCTGCTGGCCACTTCGCTCTCGGTCGTCTCTGTGAATGGCCAGACCTTCCAACGACTCGGCACCTGTCCAACCCTGGGTTGCAGTCCTCCCCACCCGACCAGCAAGATTTCCTGCCCGGACAGCAATTCGACATCCGCTTCGAGGTACACGCCCCCAAGAACGGATCCGAGGCCTTCAACGACGGAGTTCCCGATGAGAAGTTCACCGTCACCATCGCCAAGGACAACGGGCGACCCAAGAGCATCGCCTCTTTCTTTGACCTGAAGAAAGAACCTTCGCTAGAGAAATGGACGTTTTCTTGGTACGAAGACCTGTTCGCTCAGGATGCGAAGACTCCGTCCGTCGTCAATGTTGCGTCCAAGATCTACCGGAGAGTGGCCCTGTATGAGCCGGGGACGTATACGGTTACGCTGAATTATTACTCGGGGAAGAAAACGACGGCTACGTGGGTTGTGAGACAGCTGGCGACTAAGAAGAAGGCGAAGAATGTTATTCTTTTTATTGGTATGTTGTCTTTTTGCTTCCCTAGGGCGAGTTACTTGACATTGGATGTCGGCTGATCATTTGACCTTTTGGTCATTACAGGAGACGGTATGACTACCAACATGATCACTGCTGCTCGGCTGCTCGCCCACAAGTCCATCAATGGCAAGTATCAGAGTACTTTGCAGCTTGACAAGTTTCCGACTTTGGGTCATCAGATGGTTAGTAAGGAGACTCAGGTATTGCTGTTCGGTAACTGACGAATATCTTCACAGACGCACTCCATCGACTCGTTCATTACCGACAGCGCAAACTCAGCCTCTGCGCTGTATACAGGACATAAGACCACTGTCAATGCTATGGGGTAAGTTCGGGGAGTCATGCTGATGGAACATACCTCGGGCAATGCTGACAACATTCGTAGTGTCTACGTTGACTCCTCACCTGACAACTTCGATGATCCCAAGGTCGAGACGGTTATCGAGCTTCTCAAGCGGATCTGGGTAAGTGATAAACAAGAAATCTGCCGCCATTGAATATTCTCTGCTGACGCTAATTCCTTCAAGGGTTCCGCCTGGGGCGCTGTCTCGACTGCCTTCATCGCCGACGCCACTCCTATTGCTCTCACAGCCCACACGCGCTCTCGCTATGAATACGGCGCTCTCATCGAGCAAGCTCTCAACGGGTTCTCAAACACTTCATGGACAAAGCTGGACGGTCCAGACGTATACTTCGGTGGTGGCGCCGAGCAGTTCCTTCCCGGCTCTGCCTCATACCAGGGCAAGGACTACTACGCCGAGTTCGCCAAGAAAGGGTACTCAGTCAGCCTCAACAAGACCTCTCTCCTCTCCCTCCCCAACGACAAGAGAGCGCTTGGAATCTTCTGCAAGTCCAACCTGCCCGTCTGGCTCGACCGCAACATTTTCCCCGAAAACATCCTCAAGCTCAAGAACGATCCCTCAGGCGCCTCGGGCCCGGCCAAGGACATCCCCGGCCAGAAAGAAATGACTCTCAAAGCCATCGACATCCTGCACAAGCGCGGCGGCAAAGACGGCTTCTTCCTCATGTCCGAAGCGGCCTCCATCGACAAGCAGATGCACGTGCTGGACTACGAGCGGGCGCTCGGCGATCTTTTGGAGCTCGACGACACCATCCGCGCCACCATCCAGAAACTCAAGGACCTTGGTGAGCTCGACAACACCCTCATCGTCGTCACCGCCGACCACGGCCACGGCTTTGACGTCTTCGGCGGCGCCGACACCAAGTACCTCGCCGCCCAGCACGACAAGGACGACCGCCACAAGCGCGCCGCCATCGGCGTGTACAAGGAATCTGGTCTCTCGCAGTACACCGTCGAGCAACCCGGCGTCAGCTACAACACGGGACCTAACTTCCCTGTTAACTGGGACCCGCGCTACGTGATTGCTGCCGGCACGGGCGCCGCTCCCGATCGGAGAGAGCAATACGGCGTTGGCAAGAACGGTTCGCGCACGCCCGCTGCAGCCCTGCCGGGTGTCGGAGTGTCTAATGATTACTATGTCAATCCCACGGATAGGACGGGCGGGTTTGTGGTCAACGGCACGTTGCCTACGACTGAGAGCCAGGGTGTTCACTCGCTTACGGATGTGCCCGTTTTTGCGCAGGGCCCTTGCTCGGGCAACTTTGGCGGGGTATATAGCAATACGGATGTGTTCTTCAAGATTGCGGATTGCTTGGGATTGGGACATCCGACCAATAAGACTATTGGTGGTGGGAAGGGGAAGGGGAACGGGAATGGGAAGTGGGATTGAGGAGGATATGCCACTGGGGGTATTAAGCAGATGACACTGTGGGCCCGAGGATTTATCTCTCTCTCGCCAAAAGTGAAGGTACATGTAGCTTAAGCAAGGGCAATGAATTTGAGATTTGAATAAAAGAGACATACATACATACAGTCTACCTCTCTCTACCTTGTCTCCGCGGCTCAGAAGGTGGGAGGAGATGGAAGAGAGGGTGGTGATGGTGGTGGCAGTGGTGGGGGGTATTGATATCCTCCTCCTGGTCCTCCTCCTCCTCCTCCTCCACCACCACCACCATACCCCCTCTCCCGTTCCCTCTCCATCTTAAACGCCCCCCAAATCTCATCCCACTCCACCGCTTTCCTTGCCTTGTCCTCCCCGTCACCCAAGCCACCACCGTTCTTTCCATCAATCAACCACACCCCCTCCTCCCCACAAGACAAGTCCCCAAACCCGATCCACTCCGTTGCGCTACCCCACGCCATGATCCCATCTCCACACACGCAAAAGACCTCTTTGAGACTGACAAAGTATCGAAGACCGTCTACGATGTCCCAGTGGTCGAGGTACTCGTCGCCGAAGTTGCGGGTGAATTTTAGGCGGAGGATTTTGGAGGCGAGGGGTACTGGCGTGGGAGGAGAAAAGAAACTTGAGTGTTGGTTCTGCTGCTGCTGCAAGCGTTGGGAGGAGTCTGAGTATGGAAGGTGGTAGTACGTAAAAAGCAAAAAGTCATGAAACCAAGTGGTGCCGATGTCGATGGTGTCGAGCTCGAAATGGAGGTAGATGTAGCCTTCGTCATATGTCGAATCTCTCGCGGGGTTTTGGTTGACTATGACGCAGAAGACTTGCTGATATACTCGTTTCCAGTGCAATAGGTGGTTACGGGCTTCGTGGCACGCGTGCAGAGCCGCTGGTGCCGGAGTGGATGAGTGGACGGGTAGGATTCTGGTTGACCCGTAATGGATAGAAAAACGGTTGTTGACGACGTCGTCCGCGGCGCTTTGTTTGATGCGGAAATTGACGGTGCGTGGCTCGACGGTTAATTCCCAGACTCGGAGACGAAGCTCGGTGGGTAGACGGGGGAAAGGGTGGAATGTTGCCATGGGTGGAAGATCTGGTGATCTGTTGTGTTTGAGATGTTGGGACTGTGAGTATTTGACTAGGTACCTAGTTGTTGTCGTCTTCAATCCCATTTTTGTGATGTTGGAGTGAAGAGAACCGAGGACTTAAGGACGGGGGAGGTATATGGTGAGGCTGAATATGCCCGAGGGGGGAATGTAACGTAACCCAAAGGAGGCGCAGTCTAGGTATCACTCAGCCCTACGAGTTTGCTAGTGTGAGGCATTCTTTGCCTTATTCTCAGATAATTCTTTAACATCGTTTGGCTAGTCTCACCACGTGCGAGCCGATTCCGCTCGTCATCAAATTTGGCATGCCATCCATTGCATTCGATAGTCACGAATGAGAGACTACGGTACAGCTTGTACACTTTCCCATTGACATATGTATAGGTTTGAAAAATGAAGCAAGTTAATGAGAGGAAACCGGTGGACGAGAGTCCTCAAATAGAGTAAATTGCATAAAAACGAAAAGAAGCGTAGAATGAATGAAAGCTGCGTCTCAGCATCCAGCTCTCTTGCAAAGATGAGGCGACAACCAAGGAAAGCCACATAGCTACCGTTCATCCACATACGTCATCCCTACACGGTTTCTACGGGCCTTCCACCCACTCAGATGTAATAGTAGATGCTTCGGCATTTGGAATCCCAGTACTGGACGCCGAAATGCTGGTCGTCCTTGTACCCCGAGTACGTGTTATAGCCGTTGCTTCCAGTTCTGGTGTAAAGAAGTAAGGTTAGCCAATGATCACATCAGAAACCCGCAACCTGCCCTTCTACCCTGCTAGTGTAGGAAAAGAATGAATAGGTATAAGGACAGAAAACTCACCCCACATAGTTATAATTGGGCAAAGACTGGGCATTACTTGGAATGTTCCAAGTGAATGTGATGCCACTGCCAAATGTGCACGACTGCGTGCTGCCCTCCCACGTGTGATAACTACGAGTCCCACTTCTACTCTTGGTGCACACGTTCGAGTTGGGGTGGACGACAGACAGGTTGTTGCAGTCGCCGTCGTTGGCACAGTACTGATCAAAACAAGGAAGGTCAGCATCAATATATATCATCACCTTTTACCTAACTTGGTTCTTTCATGGCTGAAAGAGGAGTAAACACAGCATGACGATAGATCAAGGACATTGAAAAGGATACTACATACAACAACGAGAGATGCGAAACTGGGGACGCTGCCGGTATATTCGCAGTTCATGAGATGAATGCCCTCGCCGCGCTTGAAGAGAACAGGTGCACCGTTGGCATCGGTGAGCCCAACGGCGGGGGCGGGAGCGGCGAAGACGGCTCCAGAAAGGAGGGGGACGACGGCGAGGAGCTTGGGAGCGATCATTCTGCTGGATTTGAGAGATGGGTGGACTGAGAATTTGCGGTGAAGGAAGGGTACTGTTTGATCTGATTTTGATAATAAGTTGAACCTCGTAGAAGAGGGCAATATCCTCCTTTATACATCTTCTGCATTTCATGTTGATATTCCGTCACCCCCTCTTCGTTGTTGGTCACGAAACCTAATAGGCCTTCGCCGAGTCTCACATGGAGGTCCTATCAAGTGTAATCAGTAATAGCCCCATGCGATGCTACCGATCTCAGCTTATTGTTGACCTCCTTTTGTCAATCCACGAAGAGTGTCATTACCGTCACTGTAACCTTGGCGTTGAGAATGTAGGTAGGTGTAACGAGGCGAACGGATAGCTTGTTCTCCACCAACTTTTGGTGTTATTGTAGACGCTCCAACTTCGAAGACATCAACCTCAAGAAGAATTTGTATACCGTCCGGGGACTTGACATGGATTGAAAGGATTGTCTTCGACGTACGCTTCACCAGAATATCTTTTTTGGCCATGGGCATGACACTGGGCGACGATATCGAGGCCATAGCAAGAACAGTTTGAAGAAGAACCATATGACATGGCTTCTAGCTCAAGTCTTCTAGGTCAAAAGAGAATACCCATCAATGCTGAATGTGATTGGTACGCTCCCGAGGTCACACCGGCTCTGGACGTCGGAGGCTAAGCAGAGTCAGATTGAAAGCTCATAGACCGCGAGATAAATGAAAAGCAGGAACTTAGTCATCTCCAAGGCGATGTGACTCCACAAGAGGGCACAATATGGCATGCATAAGCTTTATGGGGGATATTGCGACGTTGCGTATGTTCGCGTCTTACGGTGCCAATGCAAAAAGCTCAAGAGGGAACAAGTGGTGATACGGAGCTTTATCTTCGGCATCCCTCTCGCCCCACATCTATTCCATTGCATGAAGAACTCACTGAAAAATGAGAAGGCTCAATGTTCATAGATCTCCGCCGAAGACATCCGGAGTTTCTTGTCAAGGAGGGAATGAGGGATACACACCAAGGAAGACAGAAAAGGGGAAGGCGCGATGCTTGGCGCAACTATCAACAAACTTCTAAATGCAGTTAGTGTAACCGTCGGTGAGTGGAGCCCCTCACCTGAGCTCGCGTTCCCCGCCATTGCCTGCCGCCTGCACCCGCCGCCCGCCAACGCGGTCCGTCCTTCGTCATTGCAGAATGTCGCGTTGAAATACAGCTTTCCCTCCAACAAATTAACCGAGAAGGAGACTTTGTATTGCTCGAGCATCCTTGACTTCCTTTATGTACATCCTTCTTCCTGACCTAGTAACATACCCTTGACGACAATTGGCTTTGGTGCATCTACCGACCTCCCTTAACTTTGGCACAAACAATTCACCTTACCGAGCCTTCGCTGATTTTGGCATCTTGTCGCAACTTGTCGCATTCTTCCTGTCGCCATCAATCGCGTCGCACTACCAAAACACATAATTGCCGGAATTGACTCGAGTCCTCGACGACCAACACGACTTCTCCATGCCGGCCGATGAAGAGGCCGGGATCTGAGGATGGCTTCTTCACAACCAAACATGGAAAGATTCCTGCGCGAATGGCGCCAGGATGCCCTCAACAAGGCCCAGTACGAGTCAGCCATATTTATAGGAGACAAGCTCCTAGCCATGACAAGTAAGCAATTGTATGAAGCGCCAACTCGGTACTGGTTCCAATCTCTAACTGTTGGCTTGCTCCAGATGACGATCACGACGCCTTCTTCCTAGCCCAAGTCCACTTTGCAGCAGGAAACTACACCCGAGCACAGGCACTGCTTGTCAAACAAGATCTGCTTGTCAAAAACGATCTGCTCACCTCGAATCCATCCTGTCGATATCTTGCAGCGCACTGCCTAATAAAACAAAACAACTTCGCCGAAGCCCTTGCGATCTTAGGCGAACACACCCCGACACACCTATTTGCGACCAATGCGAAACGCAAGACTACTCGAGGCGTGCGCGCCGCCACAGCAAGAGCCAACTCGAAAACACCATCACGGCACCACGACCAAGGCGATGATATACCGGAGGAAGACATCTCAAACAGACGCTACGAAGCCTCCATGTGCTATCTCCGAGGGCTCTGTTACGCCAAGCAGAATGCCTTCGACCGAGCCAAGGAAGCCTACAAAGATGCTTTACGGATCGATGTCCAGTGTTTCGAGGCCTTCAGCCAGCTGGTCAAAAACTCGCTCATGTCGCCCGATGAGGAGGACGAGTTTATGCAGTCGCTCGCCTTCAACTCGATTTGTGCTCCAGGAGACGACCCAGACATGGAGGACGAACCTGCCGACTACGTGCAGATGCTGTACCAGACACAGCTCTCCAAGTACCACAACCCACAAGCGTTCAACACGGCCATCGAGTCGCTCTCCACACATTACGGCCTCGAAAACAATGCCGATATTCTACTAGCCAAGGCCGACCTGCTCTATACGCAATGCCGCTTTAAGGACGCGCTTGCGATAACCGAGTCGATCCTGATGGACGACAAATATAATTTCGCCGTTTACCCGATCCATCTCGCCTGCTTATACGAGCTCCGGAAAACGAACGTACTCTTCTTGATCGCCCACGAGCTAGCCGACACCCACCCGGACGAGCCCTGCACGTGGCTCGCCGTCGGCGTCTACTATTTCACCACGGGCAAGATCGCCGACGCGCGCCGCTACTTCAGCAAAGCAAGCATGATGGACGCCAACTTTGGTCCCGCCTGGATCGGCTTTGCGCACACCTTCGCCGCCGAGGGCGAGCACGACCAGGCCGTAACCGCCTACTCGACCGCGGCCCGCTTGTTCACGGGCACCCACCTGCCACAAGTCTTTTTGGGCATGCAGAACCACGCCATGAACAACATGACGGCCGCCGAGGAGTTCCTCAAGACGGCCTACTCGCTATGTAAAACCGATCCCTTGCTGCTCAACGAGATGGGTATCGTGCTCTACCACCAGGACCGCCTTAAGGAGGCCGTCAAAATGTTTGAGGTGGCGCTCGAGATCGCGGCGGAGACCGACAGCGATCCGCACGCTTGGCTGGGCGCCCGCACGAACTTGGGACATGCGCTGAGGCGGCTGAGGAAATATGACGAGGCGTTGGATCACTTTGATCAGGTCCTTCGCGATGGCGGGAAAGACGCCCAGATATTTTGCGCCAAGGGATTGATTTACTTGGACCAGGGCAGGCCAGACGAGGCAGTGCGGGTGCTGCATGAGGCGTTGGCGATACACCCGCAGGATCCCATTGCTACGGAGTTGCTGAATAAGGCGCTTGAAGAATCGGCGGAAGCAGGGGATATAGGGCTGCTAGGGACTGCGGATGCGGGGATTGGCGGAGAAGGAGGGGACGACGGGGCGATGACTGGGGACTTGGCTAGCTTCGAGCAGATGCTGGGGGAAAAGAAGTTCGCGGCGAGAATGAAATTGGCAAGGGGCAGGCGGACAGCTGCTGCCGAGACGCCGGGACAGAGTGGTGGTGTGAAAGATAAAGGGAAGGGTGTGGCTAGGAGTGGGAGGAGGGCACCGGCTGGGGGAGGTACAAGGTTGTTTAGGGGAGATCATGAAGAGGTGGATAACATGGAGTTGAGTGATTGAGGATTTGATTGATTAGCACTGTTGTTGGATTATACTTATTTGGCACATCATCACGGTAAAATAGGCATAGCGATGGCGTCCAGGATAGGATATTAATCAAGGCTGGAAGTAGCTGGAACTAAAAGTTTGGAACGGGGACCAAGGAGGAGCATGGAGTTTTAGAAGAAAAAGGTCCATATCGGAACTGGATTATCACAGCCCCTACATGGGTATTTAGAGTTGTTTATAAGTCTTGAATTCAACTATATCATCATATCCCAACATCCGTTCCGTATATATCGCCATCGTCCCAAGTCCCTTGATCATACATCAAACATTACAGGATTATCGTGACTTCGTAAACAACTTCTCCTTGTACCCTTAAAGGTTGGGATGAGGATTGACCAGCTCTTCCACCTTCGCAAACTGGTAGTAAAAGTCCAGACTCTGTGGATTAGCCAGCGTCCCGCTCGCCTTGACCTTGCGGCCGCACACAATGTGCTTAACAGGTAATTCAACCTTCTTGAGGTTGATCGTTGTCTGTTTTTACCATTCATTGTCAGTTTCCATTCCCAAAACCGCACACTATCCTCAAGGAAAGGGAAAAAAAAGGAAACACTCACCGGAATCTCAGGCGTCTCAAAAACCCACTTGGGCACATGTCTCTTGCTCAAATCCGCCGCAATCGCCTGCTTGACCTCCCTCACCAACCTTGCATCCAAGTTATTTCCAGGCTTCATCAGCAAAAACAACATGACGCTCTCATCGTGATCCTTCGGTCTTCGCTGCCCCACGCACAGACTATCCTGCACTCTGTCCGCAAACCTTCGCTCAATGACATTGTAAATCTCCGCTGACCCGAACCGCACACCGCTGGGATTCAACACGCCGTCTGCGCGCCCCAACAAGTGCAACGCGCGCGTGGTCGGGTGAATCACGCAAAAGTCGCCGTGCGCCCACACGTGCGGGAAGCGCGCGAAGTAAGCGGCGTGGTATCTTGTCCCTGGGCTGGCGGGGCTGGTTTGGCCAGAAGGGATGGGGTCGGACCAGAAGAAGCAAGGGACGTTGGGGAAGGCCGTGGTGGCTACTAATTCGCCTGCGTGGCCTTCTGGTACGGGACGGCCTGGTTCGCCGTCGCCTACGAGAGAATCGTAGATTTCTACTGCGACGCCGAGGGAAGGACCCTGGGTTCCGCCGACGTAGACGGGTGTAAGCGGATTGCAGATGCCGAAACAGCCGGCTATGTCTGTCCCGCCGGAAATGTTGCCGAGTTGCACAGAGGGCGGAAAGCCGGCGTCGTAGAACCACTCGAATAACTGGTCGGAAAGGACCATGCCCGTGCAAGTGACGATGCGCAGGCTTGACAGGTCGGCCATTTCGCGCGGGGACTGGCCGTTCTTGGCGAACTCGAACATCCAGCGCGGGGAGATGCCGAGCTTGGTGACGCGGTGTTGGGCCGCGAGGTGCACGAGAATGGAGGAGTCGGGCTTGAAAGGGGAGCCGTCGTAGATGATGGTTTTGCCGCCGTAGAGTAGGATGGCTACGTTGGCGAGGTACATGATCCAGCCCGTGGTGGTGTATTGCAAGGTGACGTCGGAGCCGGTGAGCCCTTCGTGTAAGCTGCCTTCTTTGAAGTAGGAGATCATTACGCCGCCCAGGGAGTGGACGATGGCTTTTGGAGTACCCGTCGTGCCGGAGGAGTAGCAGATTAGGTAGGGTTCGTGGAAGGGGATGCGGACGAAGTCCGGGAATGGAGTCCCAGAGCCGGAGGAGAGGAATTCGTCCATGGTGATGGCCTTCGGAACGGCCGAGATGTCGCGGGCTTCAGCGAAGCGGCGGATGGAGACGATGTTGTCAAAGTTGGTGCAGTCTTTCAGTCCCTCGACCACCTCGGCCATCTTGGAACGGAGATCGACGATCTTGCCGTTGTAAAGAGCCGCGTCGTCCATGAACATCAGCTTGGGGTTGACTTGCACCGTCCGCTGCAGGATGCCCTTGGTGCCCATGTCGGTCGAGCTGCTGCTGAAGATGGCGCCCAGCCAGGAGGTGGCCAGCCAGACCAAAAGGGTGTCGATGCTGTTGGCACCTACGATCACCACGACGTCGCCCTTCTTGACGCCGCGCGCCTTCATCGCGGCGGCTAGTCGGCCTGCTCGCTCGCGGAGCTCGCCGTAGGTGGCATTGCGTGTTTCGCTGGCGCCTTCGCGCACCTCGGTCACGGCTACCTTGTCATCCTCTTTTCCTACGGTGGAGCGCGAAGAGTTGCTGCTGCCCTTGGGTCGGGAGTAGAGCACGTTCTCGGCGTAGCTGAGTTTGACGCCCTCGAACCAGATGGGGACGGCGTCGATGGGGGCGGATTCGTCAACTACACGGCTGTAGGTGCCTTCGTGGATGTAGTTGGCTTCTTCCCACACGTCTGCCCAGAACTGGGAGCGGTTTTGGAGGGAGTATTCGTGGAGTTCTGGGAAGGTCTAGACACTATTTGTCAATATCGGGTTACGATGGGTCAACGGATGGGTGAATATTACTGACCTTCAAGTTAAGCCCATGTCTCTTGTTAACATTCTGCAAGAACTGCCACATAGGCGTGCTCTCCGGGTCCGGGTGCTCCCAGAGCTTTCTCGGGATCACGTCTGGACGCATGATTATTTCGTCGATTTCGTCTTCTAGTGAATCTTCGATTTCTGTGTTGTTTGTGTTGGTTTCTGTGCTGAGGAGTTGTTCTGTTGTAACAACCTCTGTGACTTCCGTGACTTCCGTGACTCGCGTGACTCCCGTGACTCGCGTGACTCCCGTGTCTTCCGTGACCTCTGTGACCTCTGTGACTTTTGTGTTAACTTCCATCTTGACTTCCACGGAACAGGTCAAGGAATCATCATTAGTTGCAGAAGACGACGACGTGAAAGCCGCCGATAACGGCAATTCCACTGCCACCGACATCTTGTCTTGCAAAGTGTTTGGTATATCCGGGAAGCAAAGATTGGTACGTAAGGGGTAAAAAAGGGAGAGCAATACAACAACAAAATCACTTGGGAGGGATGGAATATCTCTTACCAAGGAGAACCGACCGACGGTCAGTCTTTCTCAACTATATATCCCCCTTTCGCTTCCACTTTTTTTCTCTCTTATCACCAAAACAACCTCTCGATCCTCGATCCAGGAATCTCTCTGGCTCTGAATCTGACCCACAGTCAACCAATCCAACTCGTCCAAGGCGTTCAAAGTCGACCAATGCGGCGCAATAGCTAGAGCTAGCTAGGTAGCCCGGTTCGTTTCAACCTCCTTCACCGCGATACGTGATCAAACATCCACACACCCCAAATGCGATGACGGACGTCGATCACTCGGTGGCATGCAGGAACCTGGGGCTCTGGAGAAAATGTGAGACCGCTATTTCGACGTCGGAGGAGGAACCGAACAAGCCAATGGCAAGGTATGTGGTGGAGGGAAATACGTGGACTTGGTGTCTTGTGAGATGCTCCTCTGGTGGCTGCTGACCTGCTGGAGACTGGAGACCTGCTGGGAGGAGGTAGGAATTGAGAACCTAGGACTGTTCTCCGGGCGAGGACAGAGGTCGTTCGAATTGGCTAATGCGGGGAACCGGGGTACCTTTTACCGCTTTCAGCTTGGTAGTACGGTGATACCTTGCGGGACTTGCCAGCAGGGGCAGTTCCCGCAGTTTCGAGGGGGGGATCAGCGCTTTCCGGCCGACTGGTTGGGCCTCGGCCCGGGAAGCTTAGTGGCCTGTTTGTTTGCTTTTTACTGTGTTGAACTGTGTGCATGCAGGACGAACTTGGGGTCAGGGGGTTCCCGTTACTCCAAACTCCGATATCTTCTCCAACTCCGTGATGCGGCTACATCGGGATTAAACACTCCCGTCCCGAGATGGGATGAGGGGAAGCAACTGAAGCATGGGGGGGAGGACTTTAAGTCAACTTCCACAGTCTCACAAGATCAATCATCTTAAGTCCGTAGGCTCTTGCTCATCTAATTCATTACTGCTAACTGATCATTTTTACTCCTCTAACACCAGGAGTCATGCAAATCCCCGCCCCTTACAAGTAACGATATAAACACAAATACAACCCGATCATTACCACATATACGCACTGTACTCCTCTCCTCCGTTTTGACTTCCCAAAACACAAACTCCGAAATTCCTGTGTAACCTTTTCCTTGAGTTGTAACTCCAACAACCAACATCATCACAAACCTCCATCACAGATACGGCATCCACAACGCCTCACACTGCGCCAAATTCAACGGACTAACCGCCTTCGCAATCAGATCAATAATCGTCTGGAACGCCGGCAAGTTACCCGCCGGCGCCTGAGCCAGGCTCGCCGCCCGCTTGACAATCATCTCGCTGTTGGCCTGTACTGTCTCTCTGAGCTGATTATCCGACAGGCTCAGCGGCCTGTGACTGCTGGTGAACCAAAAGATCATCTCGTCGCGGACAAACAGCGTCAAAGCATGCTCGAGCTGGAACTCCGGGTCCGTCAGACAGCGCGCGATGGCCATCATGGAAACAGTAAAGATGCCCTCGAGCGCGAGCGGGCCCATGAGCGTCTGCAGGTTGGGCGTGAGACGGAAGGGCACCGGCTCCGTGTTGCTGAAGTAAGGCTTGTTGGCTGCCATGATAGCCGTGAGCTCAGAGCCCCAGATGTTGCCTGAGCCGCGCGCGATGTTGAACTTGTGCGGGTATCGCTTGTCGACGTGCAAGATGTATGTCATGAACGTGAGCGCGGCGAGCTGGTACGAGAAGCGACGCCTGAAGAGCCAGAACTCGGCAAAGTCGGGGAAGATGGCCTGGAAGTATTGCAGCACAAGCGTGTGCGGCACCCACTTCTCTTGAATCGCGTTAAGAACTTCAAGACGAGCCGCAGCGTTCTGTCCCTGTTCAGATAACTTCTGCACCGATGTCAGTCCTGGATCCCCTCCATTCCTTGGTGATGTACCGTAACTTACCACACTCGGCAACTTGCCATCCATGAGCCCGCGCAATTTCTCCATCGTAAAGAGGAATGGCTCATCCTTGTGCACTCCCGACCTCCGGCAGTGATCCTCGTAAATGCCCTGGAGAGTGATGTATGAAGTATCCTCTTGAATGATCCTGATATGAGGTGCAAGAGGTACCATCAACGGCAGCGTGAACTGGAGATCACGCCTGCGACTCTCCTTCTTGTGGCTCAAGGTCTGGTTGAGCTGCCTAAAGAGCTGCAGAAGACGCTCTTCGCGACGGGACTGGCGCGCTGCAGGGTGCTGGACAGCAAACGAGTGAACGCTACCGTCGTGGCCACGAATCTTCAACCGGCGATGCGACACATTGGAAGTGCGGACGAGATCAACATTGGGCAGGAACCTGTCGATACGGATGAAGTCCTGGTTCTTGTCCTTATGCTGCAGGTATTGACCCGGAATCTCCACCTCATCGAACTTCTGGTACCGGAACTCGCTGAGATGCGGCGTATAGTGAGAGAAGTTCTCCAGAGGCATGCTTGTGCGACGGCGATCGAGCTTCTCCTCAAACTTGTCGCGCCATTTCCGGAGTTTCTGGATGTACTCATACATAGTAGGCTTCGCCTTCACAAACTCCTGCTCGAAGGTACCTCTAATGTGGGCAGGCAGTATCGTCTCCGCAAAACGAGTTATGTTGGCCTCGGTTGCGATTGGAAGCTTGACGTCTCTGGCATACGAAGTCGGCATACGACTCACGTATGACAGTCCGTCATTAAGGAGCGCAACAATGAGTCTGTAGGCGTCTTCGTCAGGTGGGCACTTGAAGTGCTTCTGGATCTGATCCACCATGGTCTCCATAGAAAGCGCCAGGAGAGGGAAGGCCGTCTTCAGCATGCTCATGATCTCATCGGTGAGTTCCCAGGGAGGCCTCTTCTGGACAGCCTGTGGCTGCACGCCAGGGACTGCACCCGGAGCATGGATTTGAGCAGGGTTTGGAGTAGGAACGCCGGCCTGAGCTGCTGCTGCAGGAACACCGTTAAGTGCACCGTCAGCCTTGACTTCGGGCTTGACTTGCCCAGCAGCATCCCCAGTAGCGGTGGCGGGTCGGGAATCACCTTCGGGCTTGGGAGTAGCCGACGCTGTAGCAGCAGGAGTAGGCTGGCCAGGAGTAGCGCTTGCCCTGGCGGCTGCGCTTTGAGCTCGTTGCTGCTGTTGCTGTCTCATACGCTCCTTGTTCTCCTGGGCCTTCTTGATTTGCAGCATGTCTTCGCGACTGGTTCGGAGCAGGAAGTAAAGCGCTTGAGGGTAGCTCTTAGCAATCTTGCTCAGAACCACTTGCAATCTCGGTGCCTCCTTGTGGTTGAGTCCGGTGAGCAACTGAGGGATATACGTAATCCAATACCATGTCGGTGTCTCGCCCTTGAAGTCGTCAAACCCGCTGGAGATGGTATTGTTGGCGTCATCGAGACTCAAAAGCCACAAGATCCGCGCGATAAGCTTCCTTGACTTGTGATTCTTGTAGCTCGACACAGCCTGCAGGTAACACGTAAGGGCCTGCTTGGCGGCGAGCACATCAGCCGGGTTCTCTCTGAACTTTCTGTCATTGAAGTAACCCCATTCTGCCCACGCCTTAGGTGCAGAGATATCGTGCGAAAGTGCCATGCCATAAGCTGTATCACACTCGTCCTTTTGGCCAAGCTTCTCCAGGAACATGCCCTTAAGAGTGAAAAATTCAGCCTTTTGCTGACCGGTGAAGTAGCCGAGATTGGTGTTGTTGATGACCTCCAGCCCGTTCTGCAGCTCTTCGGGATTTTGATAGTGGCACTTGGCTTGCTCCCTAAGCTTAAGGAAGGCCTCTTGAATCTCGATGTTCGGCAAGGTGTAGATGCGGCTGAGTTGATTGATACACACTTCGTTAAGGTTATGCTTGCGGGCAACGTGCGCGAATCTGTTGATAATCCAGGCGGTTTCGTGGAATCCACGGTACGCAAACGAAGCACCGCCAGCGCTCTGTCCACCCTGTTGCGGCAGAAGCTGGAGGTACGTGTTGTTGATAAGACCAAAGACGTGCTGCCTCCAAGTGACCAGGTCTTGCCATGCAACGATATCATCCCATGTATTGGGGAGACGATCCCGCCATGAGCCGAGAAGCAACTTAAGCTCACCAGACCGCGCATCGAGGTTATTCTGGTTAGTAGCCGAAAGACTCTGGCAGATGACACTGGCATCGTGAAGCTCAACCAACTGCTGGAAGTTCTGCAAAATTGGAATGTGAGCTGTCGTGAGACGCTTGGGAAGATGATGCCATTTCCGGATGGACAGCTGGATCGCCTCGTCAACGACGCGGTTGAAGTCATGAAGGCTTTCTTGCTTATTGTGATACTTCAACAACGACATGAAGGCCTGGAAGAAGTTTCTGCGGGGCGTAGGCGCATCCATCAGGCCCTTGATGTGGTTGTCGAGTTGCTCCCTGTTCTCCTGGTTCTGCCAGTACTCAGTGTTGCGCCAGATAGACTCCAACAGCAAGTCTTGCATATTCTCATGCTTAGCGAACTCCTGAAGGATGTCCCATTGCTGGAGCTTCTGGGCGCAAAGAACCCAGTGATCCTCCCACAACATGTATTCACCTTCAGAGAAAGGAATGACGCCAGTCCGAGCCTTAATCTGGGCTGCTTCGTACATCTTTTGGGCTTTATCCCACATGCCATTCTGCTCGTACGAAAGCGCTGCGTTGGTCTCGACAAACTGGCACCGACGGCGCCATGTGCCAAAGAAGAGATCTTCCTCACCAAGAGATGCATAGAGATCAACCAGCGCGTCGAGGTTGCTTTCCTTGACGATCGCTGAGTCATCCCCCGGCTTGATGGCAGCGGTCTCCAACTGACAGAGCGCTGTATACCACGCATCGAATGTTTTAGCCTCAAACTTGAGGACATGCGGTGGCAGCCTGCACTCAGGAAAAGCCTTGGCGGCTCCAGCCAGGAGTGACTGAACCACGTTTGGCCGCTTGTCCATCTGCCTCGAGTGGTAATCTTTGGTAAGAAGAGTGACAAGACCACGTTGAAGCTCGGGTCTATCCTCCTTCAAGGTCGCGGACCAGAACATTGGGAAAAGAACAACCCAGATATCGTTGGACAAGTTATTGTCAATGTGTTGCAGCTGGGTCAACGGCTCAAGAATGTCTCGGGCCTTGATGTCTCCAAGCTCGGTAATGAAGCGGCGGTGGCTGGTCATGAACGCGTCGTATTTGTCATCGGTGATCAAGGCTGGTTCTCTTGTGTCTTTGGCATAGCTTCCAATCAGTTGAGATGCTGACAAGGTCCGGAAATCGTCTTGGTGTAGCTGGATGGGAAGATTCATATCCACTCCTCCGAAAAGAAGCTGGATCGCCTGCGCCAGCCAAAATGAATCGGCAAGGGTGTCCCAGTTCTGTGACAGAATGACATAGGCCAACCGAGCACTGGCAGTTCTGGAGAGACTCTTGTCAAAGATGGCCATGAAGCGGGTGCGCATGTCCACGTCTTGAGCTCTTGTTCCGATGAGGAATGCATGCTCCATACGGACGGTGAGCTCAGTCCGTGTAATCTTGGGATCCTCGTAAATGTGTAGAACGAGGTTGAGGAACTTCATAAGCATGGTCGGGTCTTGTCGGTGCTCAAATGTGATCATCTTCGAAAGCACGGCTGTCTTTTCTTTGAGGGAAGGCCATGTTCCCTCGGAGCGGAACACCCATCCCTCAACCATGTCAAGGATCTTTTCACAGAGACCGGTGTGCAAAGACTTTTCGACAATGGTAGCGAGCACACTGAGGAACGGTCTACGGTTGTCGCCGAGAATGTCCATGCGAAGGGAAACGGTCTCTATGGCCTTGATGATCAGCCCTGTCTGTATCTCCAGGTCGTAAGCGTTCATTTCGGTTGCTGCATTGGCATTGTCCGGCTGTGGTCGGGGGATGCCGCCCTGCGCCAACGCCGCGTAGTGGGAAACGTGGTCTCTAGCCAATTTGGACTGAAGCGACTTCATAATTGCAGGAATATGCTGGTCGATGGCTGTAGGACGACGGCGACCAAGCGACCATAAGATGTTGATACCGGAGACGTAGTTCGTCGCAGCCATGCTCTCGGTGGCAATCCCGGATAGGAACGTGACAGCCTCCGAAGTTGGCGCCTCCGTTTCGCCTTCAGCATCGGCGTCCTCCATGGGCACATCTTCTGGGACCGCGTCGAGGATTCGCTTGATGATCGGCCGGACCTCACGGCCACCATCACATTGCTTATCAGCCGTGTGGAGACAGTCCTGAATCTCTGGATTGTCTGACTTCAAGCATTTCTCGAGAATCTTTTGAATATGACTCATGTTCTTGACGACCCATTCGTCGGACTTGAAGTGAAGAATGATGCGGATGACCTGAAGGGTGTTGATGATGTTGGTGAGGAACTTGTCATCGGCCTTCTCCTTGTCGGACGGCTCATTGGACAATGTGAGAGAAGCCTTCTCGCTGGTCAGGACAATATCAGTGACGTTTTGGAAGAGGTCCAAATCAAGATCACCCCAATATTGCGGCTGGAGAAGGTTGTAGAGAAGCGCCATCGCCTTCTTGCAGAGCTCGCCAGAAGGCGCAGCCAAAGCTGGGACAGCCGTGGCAGGAGTGTCCCGCCCCTTGGCCGAAGGAAGTTGATGACGCTCGTGCAACTGAGCGATGAACTCAACCAGATACTTGATCATCTTCTGGCGGCCCATAGCCGGGATCTCGAATTCGGGTCTCTCGCTTTGTCTGGCTGAAGCAGGCGAAAGGGATTGCTGGTCTTCGAGTTTTCTCTTCTTGGCATTAGGGGACTCGGAGACAGAGCGAGTGGGTTCTGACCGCTTGCCTTCAACACGACGCTGTTCCCATTGCCAAATCAAAGTCATCATATTCAACACCAGTTTCTTGCTCTCGTTGGATGGGTTGGGCGGCGCGGCGACTTTGCGGAGGCAGGTAATGATGAGCATGGCAAATTTGTCGCGAGAGTCATAGAACAAGTCCGGATGCCTGACGAGGAAGTGGAAGATGCTGGTCATCTGTTGGACGTTCTGGCTTTCTTCCGCCAAGATTCGGCGAGGCGCAACAGCCCAAACGGCGTTCCTGTCGCCGGGCGCGGTATTGCACCTCTTAGGCATCACGGGCGCCATCAGCTCAAGAGCCTGGGTGACCAAGGTCCTACCCTCATTCTGGTTGGTCTTGAGGAGCGAGAAGTAGATCTGTGAGACGATCTTGGCAGGAGTCTCATAGTGAGCAATGAAGTATCCGATCACGACGTAAGCAGCGTGCTTGTTGATAACGTCGTCGAGCCTGATGTACGTCCAGCCGAACTTAATGAAGTCCTTACGCGCATCTTGCAGTATGGCATGATGATACTTGACCAGCATGGCTGAGAGTTGGAGAACCTCCATCCTGGTGTGGTCAATATGCGGCTGTGAAAGATCGTCATGGGGATCCGCCAAGTTCACCTTCCAGATCTTGGTGTTGATGGACTCAATAACCGCCCGATCGAGGAAGCGTGGACCACTCTTGGCCGGTTCACCGCGATTCCAGTGACGCATCACGTCCATCGCAACGATGGGGTTGACGATATTGTGCAGGAGATACCACTTCATGCGTTGACTGGCGCTCCTCCCAGCATATATATCCAAGCAGCGAAGTACGGTTGTGCGCCAGAAGTCAATCGAGTCGCTAGAAATGATATTCTTGTAGAGATAGGAAAGCATGGTATGCGTCTCTCGGAAATCATCTGAAGTGATCGACTCAATGAGACTGAGCAACGGTTCGATGTCCTTCAGATTGCGCTCAAGCGATTTGGTCAAGATAACCATGAGCTGCTCAGATGCCTGGTCTGCAGCGAGGCGGACATTTGCAGGGAGCTTGTTCGCCTTGAGGTTTTGTTCAAGCTCCTTGCCAACGGTCTTCAGCCACTCCATGTGCTCTCTATTGTCCATCCAAGCCAGTGAGTTGGAGTTCTGGCACAGCGCCTCGAGGATGTTGATTGTGTTGACAATAGCAGCAAATTTGGTCTCCTTGTTCTGGTTGACAACGTCGCCACAAGCCTTGACAAGAGCCTCCACATTCCCAATACCGTAGTCCCTGAGTGGTTGACTCTCAGGATCGCGTAATGCCTGGGCCAGGAAACGGCCGTACCTTAACTGGTCGATTCTGCTGAATGTGAACTCCCAAATATCGAGGGGATATCGGTTGAGATACTTGTACAAGGGTTTGCGGAAAGGGCTGTGGTGAGTCCGCCTAAGCTTTTCCTCCAGCTCCAAAACGCTCTCAATGACACGCTCTTTGAATTGCTTAGCTCCATCAGGTAGCAGGTGGAAAATGTTGAAGACAGACGCAATGACCTTAATCGAGGCGTGCTGTTCGAAGAAAGTGAACGATATCTGCTGGAGGAGGTTGGGGTCTGCGATGACCTTGATGTGGTCTAACAAACGAGCGCCTATCTCTACCTTGAAGTAGGTCGTCAAAAGTCGCAGTAATCGAGCCAAATTTTCCAAACTATGGGCAGTGAGGCGTTTGGCATCCGAAAGACTTTGTAGGACCGGTCTAAGGCCTGACTGTAAGAGGTCTTTGGGCAGCTTACTGGTATGTGACAGGACCGATTTCAGAGCGTCGTTAGCTGCTTCGATGGTCGGTGCTTGCTCCGAGTAAAGGCACTTAAAGAAAACACCGACGATCTTGGCACGCGTGGCATTTCCAGATCCCTTCATGAACTCCTCAAAGCCCATAGCTGTGCTGAGAAGCTTGATGCACGATACACGAAGGTTGACGATATGCTCCCGGGTTCTGAACTCTTGGTTCTTGCCCGCAAGAGACTCATCCGAGGCATCAGCAAGTGCAAGTGACTCCATAAGCAACCTGTGCAAGTGCTCGTCGAATGTGACGAAGTCAGGCTTCAATGACATATAGTATGTAACAGCATCAATAAAGCCGATTTGGATACCAAATGCCAGAGCACGAAGAGGTTTGGCGAAAATAGGTTGGAGAAGTTGCTTCCTATGAGGCTCAAGGAGCTCCCAGACTTCAGCCCCAGTTGCTTTGGCGATCAGCTCAATGGACCTCTTGGCAGTGCTGCGAACGTGTCTGTTCATATGGGACAGTTCGCCGTTGAGCATCATGCAGATCTGAGCAAGACGAGACTGCTTCTGAGGCTGCGGCTGTCCCGGCTGCTGAGGTGTTGGCTGCGCAGGCAAGCAATCCTCCTTCTTGGCATTCTTGGTAAGGCGCTTCAGAAGGATCTCAAGTGTAACCTGTGCGGAGCGTCTGGTTTTCTCAGGAAGATCCTGGGGCATGTCCTTGATGACATACATCAGCGCTCTAACAAACTCGATCTGCTTGGTAGCAACCCATGAGTCGCCAAGATCGACGTTCGTCAGCAGGATCTTGATACCCAAGGTACCGCCGGCTTTGGTAAACCATTCCTCCTCGTAACAGCCGTGGCAGAAGGTGTTCGCCAAGCTGTTAAAGTAGGCTAGCCTAGAGACATGGCTTGGGGACCCAAAGATGGTGGCGGCAGAATTGTAGACCTCTTGAATCACTTGCTCAGCTCCTTCTCGTACCTCTGGCTTCTCGCAAGCGAGCGACTCCAGGAGGGCATCCGACAGAATCCGCGTGTCAACGAAGAGCGGACCAGCTCCCGAATCGACGTTGAAAGGAGTAGTAGACCTCTTAGAGTCGACCAATGCACGACCAACCTCTATGATAGTAAAATGCCGGGCGAGGTTTAAGAGGAACGCATCTACCTCAGGCCTGAACTCCGGTAGCGAGAGCGCAAACATGAGCGCCTTGATCAGCCTCTTAAGCTCTCCCTCATCTTCGTTCTTCTTGGCGATCGAGCGATCGCGGTCGGTGCATTCAAAAGCGGAGATATCGACATCCTTTCTCCTGTTGATAAGATCCTGCGCTTGGAGTCGAAGAAGACGAGGGAGATCATCAGGCAGATTGTCAAATCCGACGCGCAGTTTCACCTGGGTTTTGATGAAATGGAGCGCCTGCCTCTTGTAGTAGGCGTCCTGCTGCTTGGTGGGTGCGGCCGACACTCCCTTCATAAATCGCGGTACCTCCATCAACTTCTGAATTGCCAAATCGATACCATAATGTGCCGGGAATGCTCTGTCAATTTTGGACCCGATAAGGCGAATGTCGAAACTGGCCACATCATCAGCAAACTGGCGATACTTGACAGGAAGAGCATCCGTCATGAATTTTCTGTTTCGGCCGCCTAGCTTGCCAAGAATTCGCAAAGTCGTGTGTGCGTGGAAATGGTTGTAGGGGTGTGGTTTGAGATGGTCAAAGAGGGCAGCCATCAGCTCGTCAATGACCGGAGCCATAATTGGATCCAGATAGTCCGCAGTCAAGTTATCAACGCAAAGTTCCAGAGTTCGCAGGCCTTGACCGACCAGCTCCGTCCCTGCGCGCAAAGCCACCACAAGAGGCCTCATGAGGTAGCTGAGATGGGGAAGAAGATTGCTCAAGCGTGCTGGGACCGTGAGACAAAGCTCTACATAGAGGTCTCTCTCTGTCGGCTTGCGAGCCGCCAGGAGCAAGTTGTTGAGAACGTCCAAAAGCATCTCGAGAAGAGGCAGAATTTGCTTGTAAAGATGCTCGAACTTACCACCACCAATACTCCTGAACAGGGACCTAAGGAGAAGGAAGTAGTTCATCGGCTCCTCTGCCTTTGTCGAGAGCTCAATAGACTTAGTAATGATGTCGACCACATGCGGAAGCAGAACTTGTTCATTTTGGGCCGCAAATAACGTAACCGCCATGAATGCCAATTTGAACAAACGAAGGAGGATGGCCGACTTCTTTACATCGGCAGAGCCCACGTCCTCGATCCGCTCCATCAGAAAGCGCAGAAGCATTCCGCAAAAGCTGGGTGATGTCGCCTCGCTCGCCAAGAAAAATTGAGGAATTTGAAGCAGGGCCGTATGCTCGTGAATCATGTCATACAATCGTGGAATCTCTTGTTGGAAAACCTCGTGGAAAGTCGCGGGGTCGACAACATGGAAAACTGTAGCGAAGGTCTCAAGGAGGTCTTTCTCTTCTTTTGTGAGGGAAACCATGAAGAAGTTTGCCATGTACTCGACTGTGGAAGTGAAGGGTGACTCGGCTGCAGGCTTCTCGCTATCATAGTAACGGAAAACGTAGCAACCCTCACGGAAAAGCTTAACAATAACTTCAACTTCCTCAGCGGTAAAACCGTAAGCAACATCAACCCAGTGAGCGGGCGCGTTAGCCAGATCTGGCACAGTCGTCGGATTGCAGCTCTTCAGCTGGTAGAAAGTGTTCTTCAAGCCCGTCATGAGATTCTTGAACAAGAACTTATTGTCAACGACCGGATCGGCAGCACGATCCCGAGGATTGGAAGTCTTGATGGGCATTGCTGAGAAGATGTCGATTTCGTCCCACTGCGGGGGGTGCTCCTTGTCGGCCAAATATGTCTCGGGCGTGTTGTCGGCAGCTTGCTGGGCGTAAAGCTTCGAGAGTTTGACCGCATTGGCGTACTGCTTGTTCATGGCAGCGAACTTGTCGGCGATGGCATTGAGGATCATCATTAGATAGTGTCGTGCATCGACTTTATTCGGCAAGCGGGCTATACATTCCGCCATATTAAGTAAAAGCTTCGCGCTCATGGTTTGGAAACTGGTGCCGGGGAAGTTGTCCTGTAGGTTTCGCGTGTAGACCTCGACTGTTTTGCGAATCTGATCAGGAGTAAGGCTGTCCCTTACGTGATGGATGAGGTCGGCTAACATGCTGTACGCCAACGGTCTCATCGTCTCGTATACTGTTAGGCCGTCGCCTATCAAGGTACGCTCGTCCAACAGCTCGTCGATCTTGGGCAAGAAGATTTTCCTGAAGTTGAAGTTGATAATGTGGCGAATAGCGACAAGCAGCTCCTTTCGGGCGCCTGACTTTTCTCGCGGACAGTCCTTCAGAAGCCTCACTATAATCTCGGGCAACGACATGAGAAAATCCGACAACTGACTGGAGTATGATCTTAGCAGGTAAGCCAAGAAACTCATAGTCTTAACTTGCGCGGTGATGAACTCTCCATATGCCACCCTATTCTTGATGTTGGGGCTAACGCCCGTGTGAATGGTCCCTCTAGCCGCGGCGTCCATATGAGCTTTCTCCTGCGCTTTTGCCTGGCAAAGCAGGACCGATTTGATGAGCGGAACGAACAGCTTGACATTGGCTGTCACACTATTGCGATAGACCTGGAAGATGGACACAACAATAATAGGGCACTCGGACAGCACCCTGAAGGATTGCATGCCCTTCAGCAAGGGTCGCCCGGATTGTTGTCCTGCATCTGCGCTGAAGTCGGCAGCGCCAGGGGCGACGGGAGAGCCTGGCCTCGGCGATTGTTGGTGTGGCATGAAGCTCGTTTGGGTGCTACCGGGAGTTGAAGGGGCGCCTGGGGGGCCAACCACAGACGTCGACGTGTCGTCCAGCTGTTCCTTTACCACCAATGCCATCTGTTCGAAGAGCTCCTGTATCAGGTTGAGGAAGGGCTGGACTTTGGGACCCAGAACTTTGTGTTGGTGGCGCATGATCTCGGATATGATCTTAACACAGAGAACGGCGTTGTCTTCATTGTCTTCTCGCACAAGCCCCATGAGTAGGTCCACGACTTCTTCGGCGAAAGGTTCGAAGGGCTCGGGCGACGTGTTCGAGGTAGGGAGGCGATGAAGGATCTCGAGGATGCAGTTTCGCAGCTTCTGCATGTTGACTTGATCCATCGTTTTGCTCTGGAACACTGGTGGCTGTCGGAGAATCATGATGAAGGGCGGCATCATACGCTTGAGGAACGGCGAGTATGCTGGGCCGGTGACATAGTGGTCGAGGCTGTCGCGGAGGTTTATTGCGGCTTCGACCTTGAGCCGAAGCTCTATTAAGGAGGCAACTGCTGTCAGCGCCGACTCACAAAGCACCAAAAGGGTGGGCAAGGATGGACAAACGTACCAATTTCGGGGGTGCACAGCTTTCTGATAACATCGTCAATTAGGTTCGCCATGGCTGGCGGTGTTCACCTCGGGCAGTAGTAGAAAAGCTGTCGGTAAAGCTCTATTGGCATGGAGGGAGGGGAGGAAGGATAACTGTGTCCAGCCTGTATGACGGGAGTTCAGTTAGCTACGATGAACTCCAGGTTGCAAGTCTCGGACGATTTGATCGGACGACAGGGCTCAAGTTGTTGAAAGGTAGCTGTGACCCAAGCCTCGCGGTTTGTAGGCGGCAGAATATCAAAAGAGAAGTGGAGGGGGCAGGCTCGATCCACCCAAACATACAAAGTCCAGGCAGGTATTTGCGCGGAACAGGCAATCCACCAGGCCGCAGGGCAGGTGCAGATGAACTGTCCAAAGGCGGGCAGGGAGATAGACGCAGGTTCGCGAAAGCAGGTAGAGGTAGTAAACACCGACAGCAACCTCAAGCCATTGATGATCGGGGGTCCCGGTAGAGGCTGGCGGGTAGATAAGGTAGGTAGAGGGGTAACGGTGCGGTATGGGGAAGGCTTGATCCATCAGGCTGGAGATGAGAGTGGAAACATGGCCTCGTCGCCCTGGAGAAGTAACTGGAAATCAACACTTACTTATGACGCCATAGCAGAAGGGAATCGTCGTTATTATCGTCCAAATGTGGAAGACGGGGTATCGCAAAGGAAGAGTATCGCAGCGCAATATTGACGGGAAGTGGAGAGTTTAGAATAAAACAAAAGTTATCGATGGGGTATCAAGTGAAATGCAAAAGCGGGAAAATGCGCCGCTGTCAGAAGGTGTTGCAAGCTGCGACAGTTGCTGCTCAGTGGAAGGTGCAACGGGGCGGGCAGTCTGCGGCGCGGTCGACAAATCGAAAATCCCAGGGAACGCGAAGCTGGGGCGTCCGGTCGCCAATTCCAACGACGCTAGGCATTCGTTTAAACGTTGTTCCGGAGCGTCGTGGACTGTGATTCGTCAACTTTAAAGCATAAGATCAGGATTCTCGGCAGGCAAGCCGGTTCCTTGTACGAGCGGCTGATGTGCTGTCGATCTAATCTTATCGTCTGGCCTTATCTTATCACTTACACGGAATGCCAAGGTTGACGCAACTGCCTTTTTCGATCAACGCTTTTCCGGACCGTGACATCAAACGGCCTCCTTATGTGATTGATGGAAACGGGACCAACATCTGCACGACGGTGAAGCGAAAGGACAAAAGGAATGAAAGACATGAGAATTATTTGACATAGCACTTTTAGGTTTCGCCTGTCTATGTAATAAATAAAAATATCTCCAGTACACTCATTGACATCACGACATTTGCGCCTGCCGGAAGTCTGATGGTTCCGGTTAAGCTGTGAAGACACTTTAGGTTGCCGCTTTCACCTGAGTTTGGTCTCGTTTTCTTGACATGTATGTAATTACAAGGAGGTTAGGGTTAAAGATCCTATGTATGTCCAAGGTATGGTTATTCTATCTTCAAGAGTGAATGTACACTGTAATACTACAATATGGTTGTAACAAGAAAAGAAAAGGCTTTTAAACAAAAAAAAAGCCGCCAGGTATTGCTGATATCTTGCTTTATCCAATGCAAGAATCCCCAAGAGATATCCCAAAAAATGTGTGTAATGATCGAAGAGAAACGAAGTGTTGTTGAGTGTTTGAATGAGTGACAGGGTTTCATGCTTTAACCCCGGAAACGAACAAGGCGCCTCATCTTCTTGCCGGCAGTCTTGATGTTGAGAGAAGTAGACTGGCCGACATCGCAAGAGGTGCCGGCAGCAAGTGGCATGATGGGCGTCCAGACGCCGGCAGCACACTGCTGGTAAGACTTTCCATCAATGCAGTTCCACATTCCTTCGGCGCTGCAAGCAGATCCAGCACCGGAGCTGCCAGAGCCGGAGCCAGAGCCAGAACCAGAGCCAGAGCCAGAGCCAGAACCAGAGCCGGAGCCAGAACCGCCACCGCCACCGCCTTGAGCAGGAGGAGCGGGGGCAGAAGTAGGAGTCGCGGCCGGAGAATCAGGAATCGGAGCCGTGATGAAGATTCCACCACCTCCACCACCTCCACCGTAAGCTTGAGTGGGAGCAGCAGCCGGAGGAGTGGTGGTTGGCGCAGGGGCCGGTCCAGAGCCGCCGTCGGAGCCACCGTTGCCGGAGCCACCACCGGAACCCCCTTTAGCACCGCAGTTTCCAACGGGGAAGGCGAGCTTGTCCGCAGGAGCGAAACGCTCAACAGACTTTCCAGGGTTGGGGAACTTGTAGTCCTTGCCCTCTTCAGTAGTGCAGGCCTTGTCGCCGATGTTGGCCACTAACATATCCGGGAGAGATTCCCAGTTCTCCTTCTTGCCTCCACTGCCGGTGAGGCTGACAGGGGCGCAGTTCATGTAGAACTCGCGGTTGCCAATCTTGTTGAGCCAAGTCCAAGCGATGGTCGCGTTACCGGCCGGGATGTCACTCGGGATAGGGAACGAGTATGTGAACGGGGTGGCAGCCGCGGCGTTTTCGGGCAAGTTTCCGGGTGTGTCTTTGGCGGGACAGCCGCCTTCGATGGAATGAATGACCTTCCAGACACTGTTCTTGTTCGGAGCAATGTCGTACGTGATGGAAACCTGGCAAGAGCCACCACCATGCACAGCGGAACCGGTAAAAAGCAGAGGTTGCTTGGAACCAAGAGGCATGACGGTAGCGTCTCCAGCATAGCTGCCTGATGAGCCTGCCTGGCAAGGGAAGTTGCTTCCGTTTTCTTCGATGGGCCCATTAAGGAGGGCGGGTGAACTGAAGGGCTTTGGAGTGTTCATAAGGAGATGGGCATTTGAAAGAGCCACAAATCCACCAGCGGTGAAGAGCAGTTGTGTGAAGATCATCTTGTCGTAAATCGAGGTCCGTACCAGACGGGACTTTCTGAAGGAATGTGCTGAATCGATTTGCGACGGGTATCCGGGAGGATGATAATTGCTGATAGGTTGATTGCAACTGGGAAGGATGATTCGAGTGTTCCGTGAGAGGTTTTGACGTCTGACTTGAGTCTCTTGAGCGAGAAAGGAGAGTAATGCACCAGGCAGATAGAGTTTCACAAAGAGAACAGAAGTCTGCTCATCAAGGAATGGATGAGGCTGCTTGCTTGACCGGAGATATAGAACATGACAGAAACACTTGTCTTCGAGAGAGCTGCTCTTTATATCAAAACCCCAACCGGAACACGGCACTAAACATCATGGATGCTTGAGGTACAAGATGCTCGTACCAAGAGAGACGGGTAAGGAACTGCTGCAGGAACGAACGAGATGCACCAGTTGATTGGGCATGAGAGAAAGAACACAGAACAGTGATGGTGACCTTTGCCCAGTTAGACGGAGTGAAATCTCATCGTGCTGGAGGCAATTTGGGTAATGCCGTGGAACTGATCCAGTTACACTTGAGAATCTCCTAGCTCCCGCCCCATCTTGAAGCACAGGGGATGGCGAAGAACATCCTGTGCCAGTCAAAGGTTAGGACGGTAATCTTGATAGGCTGGTGGGCAATGCGATGATTTGTTTCGAAGGCTTGAGTGGAAACGGGATGCCTGAAAATCTTTCAAGATGGTGTCCTGCAGTCGCGTGGCAGGTACTAACACAGGTACAACAGACTAATGTACACCTACGTATAACGCAGTCAGCATATCGGCACCTGATCTAGGTAAACGAAAGGTATACGGCTCGGACGGCTGCAACGACGGGAGAATCAGGGGAAACCTAGACCTCGCTCTGCTGTAAACAAAAGAGCACCAGGCCCAACCTTGCTCTTGCAAACATGATGCCAACTAATGATTTGTGCTTGCCGGTCTAGACAAATCGTGTGGCTCTCGTCGAGTGTCACAGCCAGGATCTAGGAACCTTTTCAGCGGTTATCTTTGATTTCCTAGTGGCGTCCCAGGATGAGCATTTGTAGTCATCTCTGCCGTCATGTGGCTGATGCCAGTCTTGTTGGGCCGCGGTAAGCGATCAAATATACAATAGTCATTCCTTGGGTTTGATCGAATACGCTGCCTTATGTTGACCATATCAGAGGCCCGAATGGATCTTGGGAATGGGGATTGATGTAGTGACCTGTAAAGGCGGCCCTCGGTTCCACGACCGCGGGACTTGAGATGTCACTTGACAGGCCGGGGTCCCTTGCTAGGTACCTTCTCGGCGACGCATCGCTGTCGTTGGAGAGCGGCAAGGTGCGGATGATAGCTAACAGCTGGGGTCCAATTGTTACACCCTCACCAACGGCGATATGAGGTGCTGATGATGTGTCCGATGGATGAGACTCGGAGCTGTGAGACCGGGGCAAGAGTTGAAGTTCGGGCAGAAACACGAGTGGAGGACCGAGATCGCACAAATGCCCAATCGTTTCCACCAAGAGGTGACTCTGATGTTCCATTGGTCGTCCCATTTCAGTTCCTGCCAAGAGCGAGGGGACAGGGGTTTCAGATTCGATGGCTTTCAAGCCGCACATTCGAACTGGCATAGGGGTATGCATTGAGGATGTTGAGCTGTGTAAATCCTGTAATTCACACCTGGCAGTCATCGTTACCTGAAAGACCTTGACCGTCAAAAACCGGCTTTTGAGGCGTTGAATGTTGTATGATCTTTCAAATGTCGGTGGTGCGTTGAGGCAGCAGGTTATCAGATGCTCAAGGTTCGGAAGTGTCGTACCAACCTTCTAAACTGAAAGCCCAACCGGGAGAAAACCACCCCCACTTTTATTAAATAGCCCATAATTAAAGCCTGGTTAAGCCGTTAGGCTATGCACGTCCATCAGCGAAACGGTAACCATCTCCCCTAAAAATGGTAACCAGCACTCCTATACCCACTTTTACACGCTATTACCTAGCCGCGCTATTATCCACCATATATACATCGCTGCCCAATCTTGTTGCCGTCGCGTAGTCTGTTAGCGATTGTTAGCCTTGCTGCGTAATTGAATGAAACTATCATAAACTCTTCCCTATCGTTGCGTAGTTGTTTTTAGCGATTATTTTGTTATTTTCATCATTATTTGATAAAATATTACTAAGCTCGCTATATTATATTATACTGCTATACTTCCTTAACCGCCTGTTTACAAATCGTACAATCGTATACTCCGTATGATTAAGGTAAATAGACTCCTACCTAGCACACTATAACAACTAGTATTAACGGGATTTAGTTGAAATCCCTAATTAAAATGCGTTTGAATCCGATGCGATTAATTATTCCTAACCGGAGCGCGATTTCGCTAACAAAATTCGAACTCTATTAATCTACTACTATAATTATAAACTTAATTGAATAAGAACGCAGTCGCTACTGCCCTCTAACAAACGTTTTACTATTCAATAAAAGATCTCTTTTCTATTATAACTACTCTTTGTTGTAAAACCTTTTAATACCAAAGGCGAAGCAATTTAAACCTTTGTTTTGTACTATTATTAATAGAGCTTTGTTATTATATAAAAGAGTATTCGAAGCAATACCAAAAACGAAAAACTAAAGCGGCATAATTTTTACTATAACTATAGCAATAAATATAAACTTAGTAGTTAAAGTACCTACTGTCACAGGTTGACATTGGC